AGGAGGAAGGACTTTCTACAGCGGTCATGGGTGTGGATTACGATCTTATACATATACCAATTGCTCGCTGTTGCGTCGAACGATCATCGACACAACTGCACTTGAAACGAATTATCCGCAACCTCGAATAAGAAAACTTTCTCGGCCGTGAAGCTGGGCGCCTCCGACAAAATGCGTGCAAAAGAGAGGAGAAAAACGAGGAAGTCAATTAGACTTGTTACACTGGTGCGTCGTCGATCGGAATGCAGTTTCTCACATCACCACGAAGCGACAATAAAAAATGCAAATATTTGACCTTTTTGGCCGATCGCTTTCTCGAATTCGATCTCCGCCTACAGATTGCTTACGATTACCTATCCGTTTTGCGCAATCCGTTAAATTTTTGATGTTCTCTCGAGTTAATTGCCACTCATTCGCTTTCGAAATTGGCTCGATCAATTATATGATGATCATTTTCAAATAACGATTGTCATTTATATGCATATTTCTCTCATAAAGCAGTTGGGAAATCAATAGAAAATATACTAGATACTAGAAAATCTTTAATTAATAATTTTTCTATATTACTCGTATTTTTCTTTAATAATATTTTTCTTTTTAAAGGGATGCTGCTAAAATAAATTAATTGATTAAAATTATTTTTCAATTACTTGAAATTTTCTCAGAAACTAAAATAAAAGGTAAAACTTCTGTCTCCAATATCCAAAATGAATTAAAAATAATTTTATTTATTAAACAATTTATTTTAAATATTCATGCATTTCTTTTCTTTGGAATGCTAGGAGCAAGTAATTAGTTGTAACATTTATATATACAATTCATTTTAATATACAATCTTACATATACTTTCTAAAGATGTTAAAGTACTTATATGTAAGAATCATTTAACAATTTTTGTATATACTTGTAAAAATGATGAAAATTAACCCGGAACACGAATTCAGCGTGCAATAAAGCATTAGCAAATCATGTGTAAGAGTATTATTATAATGTATATAATTCTCTGAGGTATCCGTAATTTTGCAATTATTTTATATAGTCAGAATTTTAGTAGATAATAATTTTTATCTTATTAAATGATAATGCGATGTAACGGTAATTTATGAACTTATCAAAGAGAAAACTGATACATTTAAAAAATATGGCAAAAATAAACATCGCACCGCGTGAGAAACATCTATTCGCTGGAGCCAAAGAAACAGAGCAAATAGTATATAATTGGAGAAGAGTGCCAAATAAAGAATAACACATTTTCTACACAAATTAATTGAAATGTTATAACATTTTTTTGAATGTAACATTCCCTGCCGTCGGAATAATAGATAACTCAGTTGTTGGCTACGACGGTGTGACGGCTCATAAACATAAAGAGAAAATAATGCTATAGTTACAATAATGGATGTCCTTACACGCATGGGACTTTCTACTACCATAGCGTCTACTACCAAAAGCTGCAGCCTCGTTTATTCAGACTTTGTTCAGACAGGCGAGGCATTTAATACACGAACTTTCGGGTCGGCGTGTGTAGGATCGATCGAGATCGAGTCGCCGCGTGAAAGTAACAGGCTTGGTCCATCTGATTTTATTTCAGACCATCAGTATACGCGAGCGCGCTTGGAATGAGCAAAATAAAGTAAAACGGTGAGCACAGAGCGCAGCTCTCACTCATCTGCCGCGATATCCGCATTGAGATTGGCGTCAACTTATTATATTCCGCATAAAACATGCAATTCCGTTAAATATAAATTAATTCTATCCAAAACATAAAGTCTTGCTCATTACATACAAAAACATTAATATAAATTGACCAGAATTGACAGAGAAACGAGGATAAATATAAATATTTATTGAAAATAGTTATAATACAATTTACATACAATAAAAATATATATTAAACATAAATGTACATTCATAATAAAATCATATATTACGAATAAGAACATTTTGTACTTATTCAGTTTTCTTTAGTTAAAAAAATAATTTAACGACGTATAACTATAATAATAATAATAATAATAGTAATAATAATCGATAAAAACTCAATAAAATTCAAATTCATATTTGAATGATAAAATAATTAGATTTTCATATAAAACTCACTTAAAAGGTCATCAAGAAGATCATCTCAAAAGGACATATAAAAATATCGATCATCTCAAAAGGACATATAAAAATAATCGAATAAATAATAAATGATATAAACACTTCAGTACAAAAAGAATACATTTCCTTGATAATCATAACAATAAGATTTGAAAATAGAATGTGATTCGTTTTCGTAAAAGATTGTATTGGGTTGCATAACTAATTTGTCGTTTTCGGGAAAGAATTTATTAAAATGAGATTAAAAAGTATTTGATGAAATCGTCAGATAAAATGTCCTCAACTCTCGTAACATCCTCTCGGTTAATTTATTCCGGAATTTGATGTTCCAAAGATAAAATTAAGAAGAGTTAATTAATTATATTCATACAGCTAGCGGCTGTAAGAGATAAAAAACAAAATTAATTCTCAGGCTTTGAATACGATATAAAACATACTTGAGGAAATATTTTAGAATCATAACTTCACTTCCGCAGATAAAAATTTTTTTACAAATTCTTGTCAGGGGAAATATACGAGAACGAAGAAAAAAGATACTGAACAGATACCTATATGAACGTACTTTCGTGAAACTTCGAAAGGAAACGGTCGGTGAACGTTTCTTATCTCATTCACACGGTCTATCGACGCGCCAGGCCTGATGCGAGCAGACAGATCACGAGATTTGCTTCCGCTTTCCATCGCGACTGGCACGCCTCATCCGGTTGATCGACCGGACATCGCCGTGATCCAGATCTCTTCCGCTTTCCGACACTATGACCGTCACGCGTATGATTCCGTATTATTCGCGTTAAGACGATGCTGTACAAGAGAAAATTTTAATCGTACAATTAGCGTCGCGCTAAAAGGACGTATGGAGCAATGGCACGCAGAAAGACCATAACGAAATTAATTACTGAGCATGGGATTAATTAGTAGTGACAGGGAATTCGCCGGCAAAGAAATGTAGCGCACTGTTCGATAATCTCATAGAGTTTTAAGATAGAGCAGTCACATCGTCGCGATGCATCCATAATTTATGTCAGGTTTTTTCATATATTAACTTTCTACAATTATTTAAACTTCTCATGATGAGAATGTATCTTGATGTAGTTTAAAATTTATTTTTTTTACTTATTATTAGTGAATAATTAATTAATTTTAGACGATTTACATGATTTATGTTTAGAATAAAATAGAAATTTAGTTATAATTTTATATACTATATGTAATAGATATTTAATGACAATTATAACAATGTCTATAAAAATATATACATTAAAATATGCACATAACTGTACGGCATAAACAATTATCAAAATAACTTATCACAATCAGACGCAAATTTTTAGATCATCTATATAAATGAACTTTAAACATTCAATAATATAATTAAATGTGTCAGGTTTTAAAAACCAGTCATTGATATTTATCGATATTGCTGATATATGGAAGTACAAAATAAAAACTTCTTATTGTACGTGCATTAATTATTTGACTCATGAAGCGTACTATTTTAATGGCATGGTATACCCTTAAAATTGCCTCTTCTATATAAATTTCCGCATCTTAATCCACTAGATTTTCCTGTACATTGCAGTTTGTGATGACGTGTATATAATTACGTTGAAAGGAATACGGTAGAAAGAAACAGGAAGCTGTCGCTCATCGAACGAAAGTAAAGTACAAAAATAAACATAAAAGGGAAACCGGTTCGAGTTACTTATACTGGAGAGAAAGGAGTGCAAACGTCAAAAGTATAGGCAGTATAAAAGATCCTTTATATTATTAATGATTACAAAACGCATATTTATAATCGAATCATATGTAGGTCGTAAATACATAGATTGACATTGTCGGATTATAGCAGATCAGACTTATAATCAATACGACATTGTGACTTTTTAGCTTCAGAAAAGTCAATTCTTTTGCAAGGCAGACACAGAACTTGGTGTTCTCCTCACGCGTTTCGTAAATTTTAAAAGATTAACATCTCCCTCTCCCGTTTTCACGGTAACATAAAACTAGCGACATTCTAATATAAAAGAAAGAAAGTACCAAGCTGGATGGAAAGATGATATGAGTAATCGTATTAAATGGTGATCTTGTACTTACACCCAGCAAGCCTTTCATTTAGCGATTGCTAAAATAAATCATTCGGAATGTCGGTACCCATTAGATTGTCAAGTTCTTATTTTTCGACTTGCAGCTATCAATAATATAGACGGATAATATTAATTTGAGCACAGATTTTGTTTGATTTAGTGAATTAGAGAGTGAAAGTATAGAAACGAGATGAGTAAGCAGATTTCTTGTGTTTTATAATATGAAGAAGAAATTATAATTTAACTCGATCTCGTAATCTTCTATTTAGGCAAAAATAAAGCGACATCATATAAATATAAAAATGTCATAATATACAAAATTAATAAAAAAATTTCTAATTCTGTACTTTATTATCTTTTAAATAAAATTAGAATGAATAAAAATAATATGAAAAATTGAAATATATCAAACAAAATGTTTCAATTTTAAATTTATACTTACACAATTATTATTTTACTTAAAAAAAGCATTTAAATATTTACATATATCTTTTAATAATGCTTTTACTTATAATTTAACTTTGAATGTAAAACTTCATAGTTTTAAGCAATTCGAAAATTTAATTACAACTTTAGAGATTTAAAATTATTTAGTGTATGAGATATTTTTCTATTTGTATTGCCACTTATCTGTACTTACCTGTAGATATATCAAACTGAAAAAAGGAATCAATATCAGAACGGGTAAATATCATTAAGTTTTTATAAATGGGATTTATTTTATAATCTGAAAATTAAAACCGTAGATTGTTGTAATTTTGGATTATAAGTAAAATAAAAATAAAATAAAACTGAATATGAAAAACTGAGTGTAAATTCTTAACTTAGCTATGTATTTTCGTAAATAATTAATACATTATAAATGTAAAAACAAAGTTTGATATGCGATGTTCTATACAGTTGCTTAGTTAACTTAGTTTGCTAGGACAAGAAGTCGCGTCAATTCAACAACAAGAAATAACAACAGTGCAACTTATATATAATAGTATCAAATCAGTTTCGAGTGTTTGCTGTATTTTATCCTCTATTGTTTTGCTCCAAACTTGCCGTTGATCTCATCTTGCTGCTGCTGATCAGAGTCGTAAGCGGAGTACTGATGAATGTATGATCGAGTTGTCTGAGGAGCAACAGTAAAATCCTCATTCTGATAAGAACCCGCTTGATTTTGATAGGTTCCATAATTCTGCTCCTGCTTGTGGCCTGTCTGACTGTAAGTACCGTCGTAATTCTGTGACGCGTCGTAACTACCGTATTTGTCAGTTTGACCTGCCAGTCTTGTGTTGGCTACATGAGCGCGATGATTGCTGCCACTTTCGGGCGACGTATATGACACTTGGGAATGATTCCGCGACCCTGGCTTTCGGGCATTTGAATACTTGTTCTTACTCGAGGCCCTCTGAATCGACGAACTCTGCTTCGTACGTTCCCTATTGACCTTAGGGATTCCGACGGAATCGATCGCGTAAGTGACAGCGGCTTTGTTTCTCGCGTCTGGAAGGCTCACATACGACGCCGCGTTTGAATTGTAAACATCCTGATTCTCATATCCACTGTACGATCCATCACCGTTTGAAGCGTCTCTACTGGTGTCGTAGGTGTTGCCGACTTGTTGCTGTCCCAGTAGATCCGCAAAAGCTTGGCTCGTCACCTGTTCAATCTGTTGAGTATTGATGTATGCAGTAGACGGCTGGTAATCTTGATTAATTGGCTGTTCTACGTTGATGACTTTATATGTCACCTTCGGCGAGGATATCGGTAGATTCTTCACTTGAACATTTTGCGCGAGTTGATTATACGGATTGGCCGCTTTATACGTGCTGGATTGCACGTCAAGGTCTCGTGAGTTACCGGCTATGTAGTTTCCGCCATCCACGAAGTGATTCACCTGTGCATCTTGGCTCGTCTCTTCTTTCTCAACCTTTTTGTCTTGCTTGTCGTTTTCCGCAACTTGCGGTGTCTCTTGATAATAGATACCTAGGAACTGCGGCTGCACCTGCGGCTGCGATTGCGGTTGCGATTGCGGCTGCGGTTGCGACTGAGACTGAGGCTGTGGCTGCGCCGGTGGTGGTGGCGGTGGCGGGAACAGAGCGTGATTGAAGTAATGAGTGTAGTAATAGGGCGGTTGATAGTAATAGTTTGGATACGGTGACACTGGATTCACCGCGTACGGGGCAGGATATGAATTATAAGCAGGCGCGTTGGCGTACACATATAAGTCACCACCGTTATAATACGCGGGATAGACAAACGGGGATGTGCCATTTGTGGGATACGGATTATAATTAGGATTATTGTAAGGATCCCTTTGGTAATTGTTGTTGTAGCTGGAGCTATAGGTGTCCTTGGCGTCGACTTTCGGCGCGTACAGCTCCGATGTTAATTGAGTGTTTTCTTCTGTCTCGGTGCCTCGCTTTAGTTTGTGGCTGTAAGGGTATTCCGGATATGTCGTTAGAAATGGATCATTATTGAAATTCTCAATTTTATCCGACCAGGCGAAAATTGCTGGTGATAACAAGCAGAACAGTATCTGTAATAAATATTTGTATTTGCAATAAAATAGAATTGACAATTCTACAATTACGCTTAAAAATAATGTGTACCTTCAATTTTGATACTGATAGGATATATGGGATATGTTCAATTTTGATACAATGTACTGATAGGAGATATGGATGTAACTACTTCATAATATTAGTTAATAATATGATAGTGTACTTGCGTAAAAAAATAATATGAGTGTGTAATTGCGTAAAGAAATGAAAATATTTATCAATAATTATAATATAACTTCAGAAATGTATTTAAATTAATGATATAATTAAAGTATTGTTTATTAATTTATAATTGTCTTCATGCATATCTACGCATATACAAATAAAACAAAATCTCCGAAAATTAAAATATAAGTATGTTTTACATTAATTTCAAAATTAAATACATTAAATCTAAAATTGTTTTAAAACATAATAAACTTCTCTAAAGAGTCTGTCTGTAATTCCCGTGCAAAATAAATCAGACACTAAATTTAGCGTTAAGTACATTTATGTAGGCATTAAATATGAAATCTTCTTCATTTAATTAATAAATTTGTTAGTTTATTTCATAATTTATAATTAATTTATTATTACTGACCAGATGTTTCATCTCCGCCATCGGATAGCTATGAAGCTATGTTTCTTCCGTCGTTTAATTGCTATCTCATCCAACACCTCGTCCGCACTAGTAATTTCGTAGATCAGACTGACACGACAGTTCCACCTTTAATGACACATCGGCCGACATTGAATTTCTCCTTTATACCCGAGCACCGGAAAAATTACGGAAACTAGTTTAACATTTCTCTGCTCTTATGTGTAAGCAACTGGAAGTGATAGTGCACGCCTCGATAGTGTATGGCAGTGGGCTGTAACGTTACAAAAAGTTACGAAAAACCAAGTTTATAATTTTAATGTTAAATTAAAAGTTACGTAAAATAAACATTTAAAGCACTTGTCTTTAAAATTATAGTCGCTAAAGTAGTCAATTTATTTTTAATAGGAATAGAAAGTAATCAAATATAAGAACTGTACTATAAGAACTATATGCTAAATGAAAAAAGCTAGTAACCTTAACTTACTTCCGTAAAATATGTTTTTGTTCGAGAATTTCTCAAATCTCAAAGTCTATATGTGTCTTTTCATCTGAGTGTGTATGAGAGAAACAACATTAGAAACATTGAAGATTACAATATAATCATAAAATTTAAATATTAAATATTAAATATTAAACTAATAATCTCATAATATATCGACCTTTCATATATAATTACCTATATATCTTGAACTTCATAATGCTTCACAGCTCTTTAAAAAAGGATGCTATTGCATTCTACAGAATATCTGCTTTAAAATTGATTACGTTCTTTTTGCGCTTTCTTGTTTATTATTAAGAAACCCATTATTAAATACAGAATGTCTCATTTTAATAAGTCCACTTGAGTATTTTAAGATAAGAGATTCTGTTTTTTTTTTTCAGTTAGTATAGTCTTAAGAATATATTTTGATATAAACAATTTGACTTGCGCTTTTAGCGCTTTCTCGTTTACTATTAAAATTTTATTAAAAACAATATGCTTTTTTTTTAATAAACGCAAATATCTAAAAATGTATTATAAATTAGATGAGATATCAAAGTTTAGTTTTAATTATATGGTTTTAAAAAAGATGCAATTTGATAAAAAAAATTTGACCTTGGTCAAGAAAAGCATCTCTGTAATATATTTTACAACGCATGATTTTCGCAAAAATTTGGATTGAATCAGCTAAAGGCCGAAGAACAAGACGATAGCCACAAGCGAACGGATCAGGAAGTGGAGCGCCCTCCGGCATCCTCGAGAAGGATCTTTCCAATCTTGCTCAAACAACACCTTTCGCGACTGTACCTTTGAAAACATCGATTTACTTTACTTTCACCCGTGCACCATCTCTCACCGACAAAATGTTCTTATCAAGCAGACTGCATCTATGATAACAACATTTGAAATGGACGATTGCATTACGGTGATATTCGAAAAAAAAATCTTCCATCAATTTCTCTTACTTCAGAAGGAGATATCATTAAAGAAAGAGATATCATGGAATAACTTAATATCTATTGGTACTTTTCACTTGTATATCAGATACCAGAATATATATCTTCAATAAAATATAATTTATTATTTATTAAATAATACAAATATTTAATGAAATTACTTTATAATTCCATGATATATAATACAATATTAGCATATATAATGTAATTTTTTGAATTAAATATTAATTAAACTTAATAAAATATTAATTAATCAACAAGCATTAATTAAAAATATATACGTTTTCTTGCGTACAATTAAAATTTGTCAGATACTGATTTTTCTTTTAATAAACTTTCTTTAGTGAATTTTAAAAAATCTTGTATCACACATATCGTCGAATTCTAAATATTTTATTACATCTACTTAATTACAAGTTCTACTTCATCTGTTTAACTCTGAAATTCTACAGCAACAAAAGCGTTCCTTTATTTTTATACACCTAACTGCTGCATTACTTTTCGCACACGTTCGCATTCAATCATTACTTGAGAAAAAAGTCTCGCGTTACAGGTCAGTACGTTACGAAAGTGAATCTCCCAGTTGTCTACCAGGATGAACTCGCAAGTCCGAGATCAAGTTAAAGATGCGTGACGGAGGTCCGCCCGGAGGAACGTCTTTGCAAAGAGTAAGAGCGGACTTTTCCCGCTCTCGCCGGGCGTAAGAGTGAGACAAGCCTGAGCGTGTCTCGCAAAACCAGTCAGAAAATAGTGAAACGTTGTGCTTTTTGTATTTGCGAGACAGACCGGTTAGATCGGGCATATAGCAACGACGTGGGGCGTATATCTCGGCTAGATTACACATCTGAAGAGCTAGGACCTCTACCATGCGTGCGGCTCTCTCATGTGACTGATGTCATGCCGTATCGTGTCGTGTTGCCCTCGCGTATGTAAGTAAGCACACACATACTCATGCATATGAGTCACAGAAAATGGGTCAGGTATACGAAAGGAGTAATGCGCGATTGGAGCGATTAACTAAAGTCGCTTTCTTACGTGTAGGCGACGAAGTATCTCCTTGAAAACTTGATTAGTGTAAATAAACTAATTGCTTTGTCGTGCTAGTAGCTGAATGATCGATCACGATTTCCATCACGATCTATTAATCATCTAGTGATCGGGGGGAGGGGAGGCAATGTCATGTTTTATTAATATAAAATTTATATTAAATTAAATTATGTTGAAATGTTTCATATAACGTTTGGAAACGTTAAATGTAATTTAATAAGTTATTGTCTGTTGCAAATTATTTTATATAATTTATAAATTTTAAATTATAAAATTATATATTTTTTGTAAGTTTTAAATTATGAAAATATAAGAATAATAAAAGAGAATAAAATTATTTATAATTTTTAGATTCTTATTAACATTTAATTATTATTATTCTTATGAAGATGCTTATTAGCATCAACACAATTATTAAATTGCTTATTAATTTAATAAGTGATATTATTGTTGTAATTTTGTTCATGATTACGTTTTAACACTAAAAAATTTCGGCATGCAATTTGCGGAATCAGATATTTATATAAATTCACACAGAAATGTTTAAACATTAAGATTCGCTTTGAATATGGAATGCTATTAATAAAAATAATGAGTCCAATAGAAAAATATGACGATCATTCAATTTCTAAGTTGTAAAATAAAAATATTTAATTGGTAATTATTTTACTAACCTTAGAGATACTAACAATAATAATTATAATTTTAATTATAACTTCTTATTTTAATTTAAATGATATATTGAGTATCACTTTTGATGTATAAAAGAATAATATAAACTAGCAAGGCAACATACAAATTATATTTATTAAATAAATATTATTTTAACCAGCAACACAGAAATATTATTTTATTATGCTATGTAATTTCGCTCTCTTTTAAGATTAATTATTTTATAATTATGTATCCATATCTATAAAAAAGAAAATAGGTTATACATATATTATTATTATCAATATCATTATATATCAATTTCCATTATATATGTTGACATTACGTTGAATTATACATAAATCTTAACCAGTCAATCTTACCATCTGCAGCTGACAATCACTTTCCAAAATAAAATAAAGGTTTAGAAAGATATCTCTTACTCACCCTGATCCGTCTCGGCCTTGAAGTAAAAGCGATCCCGTTCTGTTTGTTGGACGGACTTATGCTTTTATTATATTTCATGTACGGTTATACCATTGCCGTTCGTGCGATTAATAACTTTCACGGTAGCGCCGCGGGTAAAAGCAACATTGGTCGTTGTCAGATACATCAATTTTGATGGACAACAATACTAACGGCAGGATTCATTCAAGTATCTTTTGATACACGTATTGCCCTCCATCGCGCGTGTCGAATCAATTACTTAGTATTCGCGAAGATATATTTGTAAACTCGAACACGCGAAAGTAAACCAGCACTCTATATATTTTAATTGCAGTATGAATTGAAATAATTGGATCAAAATCATATCTTATTTGTCGATTTATACTTTCACTTTTCCGATCTCTTTGATCATCTTCTTCATTACTGTGCGTGTTTAATCTTTATTAAGAGGCAAAACATTGGCGTATAGTCTTATGCACGCCGCACGCAATATCCAACATGCAATTTATTAGTAATCTTCGTGACTCTAGAAACTCCTTTAAATTCTTATGCTATTCGAAATTTATGAGCCGATCGTAAATACTGCTAAATTAATTGCCAATCGTTAATTGTCATAAACTTAATTAATTGTAATAAACTTAATATAATGATAATACTATCAATTTTCAAGATTTAAAGTAAGTTCTCTGGTATTCGTTGGAAAATCAACTCATTTATTATAAAAGAATGTATAAAATTACGTAATAAAAATCACAATTGTCAGTGATATAAAGAATAACAATCTATTACAATACATATCATATAAATATAGATAACAATTGGGTATTTGAGTATAATTACAGTACAGAGATTTCTATCTCTAGATAGATCGTACAGTAGAAAATTTAAATATAAATATTTATTCTATTGTATCTCAACAACATACATAGTCTTCTACTTGGGAAATACTATTGTTATTTTTCATGGCAAGATCGAGTCAGCATAAGATTAGATAATTAAACGGATTTGGCGTTTAATTACTCGTTCGTCGAGATCCAAACAAGGATCTTGTAATTATAATCCTAAGCTGTTATCGAATCCTGACAATGTGTCGGGACGCAAAAAGATTTACAAAACATAAATTAATATTTTCCGTTTGGAACCGAGTACGAAATCGTATCATACTTTGCGCCACCTAAGTCTGCATTTACAACTTTCTCGGAAACATATCCGACATATCTCGGACTTACGCCAGTATGAGTGCCTTGCGAATCCGCAGATTTCCCATGGGAACTGGACGAACTATATATTGTGGGTGTATAGCCGTGGCTTCCGGTATAAGTTACGACTGGGCTGGAACTGGAAGCTGCTGCGTAATTTGCGCTGAGGGTGTAGCTGGTACCAGCGCCGGAGTAGCCGGAACTGGGAGAACCCACATGACTGATACTCGGATTTGAATAAGAAACACTGGGGCTAGAATAGCTGGTACTGCTACCGGACGAATGAGATGGCAGATAATTCGTGTACGTGATGGTGTTGGACGATCCCGAGTTCGAGTG